CGCCCGCCCGCCCACCCCAGCCCCCATCCCCACCAGTCCCAGAGGGGAAGGGCTCTGAACAGCACAGGGGGGCGGGGGCCTAGTGGGTGGGTCAGAGCTACAGGAAAAGACCAACAACCGAGCTAGCCTTTGCCTTGGACCAGAATGTCAGAGTAGGGTCTAGTGGTTAGAGCTGGGGGATCTGGGGGTCAGGACTCGTGGGTTCTGGAAGCGGAAGTGGGGTCTAGTGGATTAGAGCCGGGAGGGGAAGGGCTCTGAACAGCACAGGGGGGCGGGGGCCTAGTGGGTGGGTCAGAGCTACAGGAAAAGACCAACAACCGAGCTAGCCTTTGCCTTGGACCAGAATGTCAGAGTAGGGTCTAGTGGTTAGAGCTGGGGGATCTGGGGGTCAGGACTCGTGGGTTCTGGAAGCGGAAGTGGGGTCTAGTGGATTAGAGCCGGGATCTAGGAGTCAGGACTCCTGGGTTTCCTCCCTGGCTCTGGGAGGGGGAGTGGGGTGTAGTGGTTAGCGCGGAGAGGGGAGACTGGGAGTCAGTACTCCTGCATACTGCTGCTGGCTCGGCCCATTGCCTGCCTGCCCCGTGCCTCAGTTTCTCCCCTCCTCGCCCTGCGTCTGGGGTACAGGCAGGACTTGTGAGGCAGAAGCCCTGACAACAGCCCTGCCCTTTCAGAGCGCCGGGAGGGTATCGGGGGGTCGCGTAGGCCGGGGCTCCGGCTCCTTGGACTCCTGTCCTGGGAGCGCAGAGCCAGCTGCTGCGATGCTACCTGTGTGCCCCCCCCTTCAGGTGCGAGACGATGCGGACCATGAAACTGGCCTCGGTCCCCATTGAGCTGGAGAAGAATTTCTGTAGCTTCCCCCGGCAGTACTTTGTCCTGCGCAAGATCATCAAGAGACTGATCGGTGAGCGGTGCTGTTAGGGCCGCCTCTTCCTTCCCTGCCCCTGGGGGCCAACACTCCCCCACCCCCTACGCCACGACATGGAAGCCCTGCAGACTTGTTATGCTTATAAGAAACCCCTGGGATCTTTTTCAGGGGGAAAGACAATACACTGTGTTTGTTGAGAATCCAGTAGAGAAGCAGTTAGCATCTGCTTTAGAAAGAGAGAGAGTCCGTCTTACTGGCCAGGCTGACGGAGCGAGGAGCCAGGGTTCCTCTGAGACTCCTCCGAGGCTCGGCTTGCGGGATTGAACCCAGAATCTCATGCCAAGAGCTTCCCTTCTTATCCATGTCAGTTCCCATTGGAGTCTGTGGGTGTTTGTGTCATGCTGCCCTTATCCGCCCTTAGGTGGGGTTAATTTGTGTTCCTTTGATGGTGATTGTCAGGGTGATTGTCAGGGTTGTTTCTCGCTCTTGGGAGGGTCTTTGCCTGTCTCCTGAGTTTGTTAATGCTGCTAATTCAATTCAGCCTCAAGACACACTGCATGTCTTTGTTGTCTTCTAAGGCTGTGTCTGCACTACATGCCTCTGTCGGCAGAGGCATGTAGATTAGGGTTGTAGGCAAAGGCAAATGAAGCCGCGATTTAAATGATCTCGGCTTCATTTACATTTACATGGCTGCCGCGCTGAGCTGACAAACAGCTAATCAGCTGTTTGCTGGCTCGCCGCTAGTCTGGACGTTCCCCCTGTCGACATCAGAGCCCTTTGTCGGCAGCCCCGGTAAACGTCATTCCACGAGGAATAACGGGGCTGCCGACAAAGGGCTTTGATGTCGACAGGGGGAAC